TAGCATGTAGCATAAATGGGAATAGATAGGTTGTGAACAAGGCATGGGTTAAATTATAGGTGGAATGCTCAGTTCACACATAAAACAATTTGAGGTAGATACGTATGGGTATATAGAACTTCTGGGGTAGAACACTTTTCTTGAACTGCCATGCCTTGATATCACAGCAAACTTCTTCAGAGAACAAGTGATAGGAAGTATCTGCTGAGAGTTGTTTTGCAGTAGAAAAATACGAAGTGTATAGAAAGGCCTTTAGACAGTTAACTGCTCCATCACCTTGTTACGTGGTGGAATCTCTTATTGTCATGGCTGTGTACAGGCTGAAACCCTGAATCCTCTTTCAAAGATACTCCTTTCAGATTCCGTAGCCTCTTTCTCAGAAGCATGGAGCTATATCACTGTTTTCTCAAACAGGGAGTTGCACTGACATTGTCTAGAAATGTCGTACTGTCTTATATGTGACTAATTTACCAGTGGATATCCAAAAAGATGCACAGCTTTTACAGGTGTTTTTAAAAAATGATCTAGCACCCTGCAGACTGCTGTACACATGGTGATAGCCTTTGTTAGCATAATATATTGTAGTGCGTTTTGTAGTGGGTCTCTGAGGCTTAGACTCCCTGTCAGCAACCAGAATAAATGAAAATAGCTTCCAGGAGATGCTCGGCCAGTTAGAAGGCTGCATGCTAGTAGTTGCTGAAAACTAAGAAACTTGCTCACACATCTGAAAAACCTCATAAATGTTCTCTTGTCACAGTCGTTTAATAAAGTTGGGTGTGTTGTCTTTCACAGACGCTGTATTTGCTGGTTGAGAATAGCAGAGTTGCACACGACAGAATGCAATGACAGCAAAACTACATCTGGAGATTGTCTAAGGCTTGGGGTCTGGAGGGCAGGGTTGTTTTTTGTTGTTTTAAACAAAATGCCCAATTAGATTATGAAAGAAACATCACTGACGTGAGACATTTTTCTTGCCCAACCTAATGCTTCTTGAGATAAACTTACTGCTACAGAGCAGACTGCTGCAAATATAACTTCTCCATGAGGAATTCCCCAGGCAGTCACAGCCAGCAGCTCAGCAGAAGCAGTAGGAAAGGGCATTGCTTACGCTGTATTTACCCTGTTCTTTGAACCCTTCCTTTAGGCATCACCCACTGACTGTTTTAAAGGGGACGGTACTGAGCTAGGCGGAGGGTTGAACTGTATGCATGTTATTATGCAGGTGGAAGTTAGTGATGCATTAAATGAAGCCTTTCAAATTTCATTACTATAGATCAGTTAAAAACACCTTGCCCAATAGCACAACCTTTCAGATCAGTACAAGTGATTAAAACACTTTTAAGATCTGTTTATCATTGTTTATACGGTGATAACAACATCATTCAGACATAGATATTCCCTGTTCTGTTCTCCTTTTTGTATTTTCATCTCTCCCTGTATTCTTAAAAGTCCCATTTAAATGATCAAAGGCTTTTACAAAACTATCCTTTCATATTTGAAAGTGATTGTGAGCCTGACTACATGAAGGATTGTGAGCCTCAGCATTCATTGCTGTGCCTGAGCATTAAGCATTACGCTCAACTGCAGTCACATCCTGCAGATGCACAGCATGGAAGTACGCATGCAGGTTGCTAGTGTATGTCAAGACTTTTACTGTTTCGTCTCATATTTTGATTAACCGAAATGAAGGTACAACTGGTACAATTATTTCCCTAATAAAGCCTTTTTTTCCTCTTTTTAACCTGCAGACATACAGAGAAAGCCATGAGGGAGAGGGGGAAAGTCTAACTGAATAAAGTTAAAAAATAAATACTGTATGTAAGTCTTATCTTAAAAATCTTCCCTGGTGTGAGCCCCATTAAGTTACTCCTGCTCACTCTAGTAGATCCCATCTCTGACTGTATGTGCCACACTGTCTATTTCGCTGGACTACTTATATAATTTTTCATTACCATCTTCTCCAGTCCTTTCTGATTTCTTTCTGGCCAGTATCCATCTTCTCTAACAGTGTATTTAAAAACATCATACAGATTACTCGGAAGCAAAAAAAAAATAAGGCTTCATCCTGTTTTCAGTATACCTCATCTGGAATAGGTCAGTAACCAAGACTCTTTTCCTCCTTGGCAAGTTTTTCTCTAGTGTTGCTCTTTTCCTCAAGTGGAACCTGTTGGCTGCATTACATCCTAAATTTGTCTTTGAAATAATGCTGAAAATGCCTGAGTAGGAAGTTAAATCTATGACTTCTTTGGGTTTTTTTTCTGTCTCTCTCTTTGGACCCTGACAAAACAAAATACATGGTACAAATCATTAACATTTTCCTGGAACTGTGTCCTTGTAAGCAGTGTCATCTGCTCTTGAGGTGACAGAGAGGAACCTCTTAGCAAGGTGAAGTTAGGTGTCAGTATGGGAACCAAAAGGCTGAAGGCTGCTGAGACGGGAATAGTAGGGCCTCTGCTGTCACCCTGTGCCTCCTCAGGCTGCTTGCTCTTAGCCTTAGCAGTCCCTGCTGTCTGGACCCACCAGCTGCCAGTTCCTTTGGTCACCTGCTTACGTGTCCATCCAGCCTTATTAGAATGCTGCTTCAAACACCTTTGAAGAACTGTATTTGCCTCTTGCCTGGCAATGGCCAAACTCAGCTGCTCAGCACAAATGTATGGAGTCTTGCAGTAACAGTAAATACCGCTCAGTAAGATACATCATTGTGCACGGGTGCTAAATAAAGGTGCTAAATAAATCTTTATTTTTGCCAAAACAGCAAATTAAAATTGAACACTGCACATATTTGCGTGATATTCTGTATATTGAACTTTGAAGATACATTTTCCAAATTACTCCCTGAATGATTGCTCTACAAGTATTTTGCAATAAGAAATTGCTACAGTCTACCTAACAATGTCTGAGATGATTGTGAAAGAATTTGCATTATCACTGTACGGTTATTGTATAATAACTGGATTATCAACCGTGCAAACATCCCTCTTCTTGATTGCTCCCTCTGCTTTGACTGTGTCCTATATAAGCAGCTTTGCAGGGGTTGATAGATGTTGACTAAAGCAGAACACACCCCAGTGCTCAGCAAACTTGCCTTCTGCTCTCACCTTCCCCCACTGACAATTCTTGTGAACAGGCAGTGGAGGGAAATGGCCAGGGGGCTTCAAAGTAGTCTAGCAAAATGTTTAATTGTGGAAAACAATAACATTTAAAATTAGCCTTTCCATGGGAACATGAATTTTTTTTTTTTTTTTTACCGCATAGGCTATCAGAATGTGAGACCTCCCACAGGCCACTCAGTCACAGCCTTTGAACAGCTCCTAGTCCTGGATACTTGTGTAGGGTAAATAGAAAAGATAATTTCTGGTGCATAAGTAAACAATGAGAGTGAGATCCCAGCTGTCTTGAAGCTGGCATGATTTTGAAAACTAACTCTAAAAGCGACATACAGGCATGAGAATGGGATATTAAGAGAAAAGCCTCATGTAATGGCATTTGCTTATGGATTTAAAAATAAGAGAGTGGTTACAAAGCCATCAGAATTTACACCCAACATTCAGAATTTATGTGGTGCAGGTTTCTGTAACCTGACAGAAGATGAATCGAGCTTTGTAGATGTCAAATTTCAAATTTCCCACTCAGCTCTCTTCCTTCACATTTGTTTTCAATGGGAAAAAAGTAACTTTTTAAATGACAAATTAAATGAGAAAAAGGAAGGAGTTACACCTGAGGGTGACACTGGTACCCCTACTTAAAGAAATCCCAGAAGGGCCATCAGTAAAGTTCTTCAGTAAAAGATAAACACGCACCATCTCAGTACCATTTCTTGTAGATTTTTCACAAGTTTTCCTTTCGTGTACAGATTCAAGAGCCACACTCTTTAAAATAACAAGCCTCAAGGAGACTTCGTGCCTGAGAGCTGTGTCTGCAGGGCTGCAGCACCTGCTGCTCAGCACCTTCGCCTTGGTGCCAGGCATATTGAATACTACTAATGGTGTTAGTGTCAGCTCCTAATCTTAGATTTTGATCAAATCTCTTGGCAGTAAGTTTAAACCTTTAAATTGTTAAAACATTTGATTATGTTTTTAAGAATAAAGATGTCTTTAGCAGGGGGAATGCTGTAAAAATCCAGTTCTTAGTGTTTTCATGGCAGTTTTACCTTTCAGGAACCACATTTGCAAACACTATAATTTCTTTGTATATGTGAGTCTTTATATATTTAAGTTAGGTAAATGAGGAAGCCTGAAGAGTATGGATTGCTTCTCAAGTTAACATGCTTCTTGCGTGTCCTCTGTGTATTTTGGTATTGAAACTGGACACAGATATGCTGTAGGTATACTGGAGTCTTACAGCATTTAAATATTTGAGAACTTCTTTGAACTTCTGCAAAAGTGTTGATTTGAGTACCTTTTTTGAAGCAAAAGGTATCCTGGATGTGTTTATGAACTTTGCTCTGATGCTTTCTTTTCCAGTGTTTTTGATTGATTAAAGAAATCTGAAAGTCTATTTTCCACTCTTTACTCAGAGCTATAAAATTGGACTTGACTTTGGACACTTCAGCATCCTCAACTTAAGTTAAAGAAAGG